TAAATGATATCTAGAATAAAACAGTTTAGTGCCTGATAGGAGGATGTGCTAACTAATCAGGCTTTATTTAAACATCAAAGAATACTTTAGGTTAAGGTATTCTTTTAAATAAGAAAAAAGCTATCTCCAGATAAATATTAAGCCTTACAAAGTCTAATATATTGCATGGTTTGTTTTGGAACTTGACAATCAACTTTCCTGCAATGTTAACTATGTTGAAGAACTTATTTTAAACAATATTATACATATTTATTATACTCTTATAAGATGTATGTAGATAGAATAATACATGTGCAGAATACGACAGTTTAATGGTGGAAGTATACACACATATTGATAGATGTCTTGTAATGCACTGTTGAGGAACCTCTGACCCAAGTTTTTCATTCATTGCATAACTACACTGAAGTTGTGTATATGATATTTCAATAAACCTGTGAAAATCTTGAAATCTTGAAAGGGATGTGCAAAATAGCCATTATATACAGTCTTTAATTAACTATTAGTAGAGAATAACGAGTAATGAATATACTTTATAGGGATCTGCAGATCAATGTTTTGTCTTTTCAGGCACCAACTATCAAATATCAATTTTTTTTCAATTTAATAGAAGCCCTGTGCGTGGTCGGGCGCATTGTAGGAAAGCAAGACAATAAATGGCAAATATATGTAGAAGATAAACGTATTTGAGTTACGTCCAAACGTAATGTGGGAGAAAATACGTTTCTAGCTTAACGTAGTTGATAATTGGATTTTTGATAATTGATTTATTTAACATTAAAGTGGCTCATATTGTTCAGAGAAAATATTTACCTTTAATAAAATGTTAAAACCAAAAATGCAGACTAATGTTTATTTAGTATAGAGTATAAATGTCCCATCTGATACTGGAGTACAGAGTTTTTAATGTTGTTATGGGACTTTTCTGTAATCTGAAAAAAAGGTTAATTTGACCTCTTTAGTGTAAAAAATGAAATGATAAAAATGTAGCTTAGTCAAAATGTCGAGTTGTTAAGAGGGGAAGCGTTCCTCTGGTGGAACTGCTAAAAACAACTCTAAACACACAGAATTGTGTGTTTATAATGAAACAACCTTCCAAATCAGATTCTGAATTATGAGACTGTTTGACACAATTGGTTTTAACAGATTTATTAAAATCCAGACAGCAGTTTAGAACACAGACAATAAATAAATATAACGTTGTCTTATGAATGTGTGAAGGATTTAACTTTATCAAGAAATATTAAAATCTATTAAAAAAAAGTATCAAGACAAGAGGATTTGAACTACATCAATACCTGCTTATACAACCTGAAATCACAGTGATGTTGCTAAAAGAAATTTAAAAAAAAGTATGCCTGGTGTATAAAGAACCAACACAATCACAACACAGTGCAAGGGCACAAAAGTAAAAAAGGCTCAAACATGGCAAAAATCTTAAGAAGCCAAAATGTATCATGCATTATAGCCCTATGAAGATATATTTATACAAGAGCAATATCTGGATTATCCTTATCATCTTAACACAGAAAACTCCTGATCAAAAGCAAATAAAACAAATATTTTCAACCAAACCATTAAATCTAGCGTTATCGAAACTCAGATTAAATGAAAAGATGAAAAGATCTGCCAGAAGATGATCCCCCTTCCTTTCCTATTATTCTTCTGGAAAAAATATGATAGACTAATTGAGATGTTTGTTTTGCACAGGTTTCCGTACATAAAACTTCCGAACTTGACATCACTTGACATCTGAGGGACTTCTAAATAGCCCCCTACTAATGACATGACTCCTGCTCAAACAGCTAATCAAATCTGCAGATTCCCTTCAAAGTGCAAAAGCATACCGAAAAGGACTGACAGTGTTGATTGGATGTAGTTTGAAGAAAGAATAACCCCTTTAGATTATTAAAGGTATTTGTTCACTGGTCAGCAGAGTGTGAGGTCAGTCCAGTTTCATTAAAATTCAAAATGTCAACCTGACATTTAGAAAGTCCTTTGACAGGTAGGTAAAGTTCCCTCATTATACCAGGGGATATTAGTTTGATGGTTTCTTTGGTGGTTGCTGCTTCTTCATGTGTTGAAGCTGTCATCATAGGAAGGGGGAGCCTCTGTAACAGACAGTGAACATCAGATCAGCTGCTTTTTACACTCACAATGTACACTCACAATGTACACACGCTGCTACACAGCACCCTGACCACAAGTCAGCAGCGTCAGCCCTGTGAGCCTGCAGAGTGGAAACACACACACACACACAGCTAAAAGACTCTCAAACCTACAGAAAGAGTGCAAGGCAATGCAAAACGATAAGGATTGCAGTCATCTCCACAACAAAAGTAGTGTAAAACAATTAAAATGTGTTGTTGAGTTTGGAATGTTTATGCCTTAGCCCTAGTTTAAATGAGTTACATGTACCTTTCAGGTTTACTACTGTAATTATGTATGAGTGCTGTAGTAGTGCATTATGGGGACAGGTGTTTTGAAAACACAATTTTAGTCTATTTGCCAGACGTGTGAGACAAAGTTTGATGATATAAATGAATAGTACTCGTTCCCAGGACATAGAAACTGCCGGATGCGAACTTGCATATTTTGGGCAATTTGCACAATTGTACTTAAAGGTGGGGTAGGTAATTTTGGAGAAACCAGCTCGAGGGCGTTAGAATTTGAAAATACACAGCCGGAAAAAATCTGCCACTTCCTTACAGAGCCCCTCCTCCAACACACACGACCAATGAGGGCACGAGATAAATTTGTGCACAGACGGAAGGCTGACAGGCAGGTAGGCCATCCAGTTATTTTAGCCGGGCCGGCTCAGATGATTGGTCGTGCTTTTTACAGTACTACGGCTTCCACAGATGACATTTTTTTATGGATTTTTTGTCAAAGCACTTAAGATATTCATTGCTATCGGGATGTTAAGAGCATTCCATGGAATATAACAAAAAGTTTATTCAACATCCTCAATAACCTCAATAAAATTGCCCAAATCGGCCAAGCCATTTTTGAACTTTTGTCTGCATATGCTAATTAGTGCTAACTAATTCAACTTATGCTACTTGTACACATTTCCCAATATATGCAGGTCCAGCAGTCTATATGTGCTGGGGACCCGTACTATACATTTCTAACATAACATTTTGGGGTACATTCCTGGGTTCACAACTGGACTCTATGAGCTGCAAACAGACTATTCACCTTCTACAGGTTAATCCTTATTCAGCCTGGATGCTTCACCGTGTGCAGACTGACCTTGTGGATAAACTGAGGCACCGTAGTCTGGAGGCAGGATGAGTGGTGTTGGCATTAAGCTGGCGCTGCTCTCAGAGGGGTACGGTGCTGTGGCCCCCGTGGACCCAGGGGGGGCTGGGCTTGGCCCGTTGTGCTGCTGGTTTTGGGAGAAGAAGAGGCCGGGAGCGTAGCTGAAAGCATTGGGGGACACCAGCTGAGACTGGCGCTTGTTTGGAAGGCCATCGTTCATGGGAGCCCCCCCCTCGGCTCCCTGGGGTGAGTCAGCCGGAGGAGCACTGTGGGGATTATGCGAGGACGCCCTGGAGCGAGGGGTGGGACGTGGACCAGGTTTGGGGGCAGGGCGAGGGGGCAGAGTGAGGGTGGTGGTGCTGGTGGAGGGGGGGTTGGCAGATTCTTGTGAGTCTTCAGCAGAACAGGCAGCAGCTGCTTTCTTAGAAGAGCGCAGCTTTTTGTCCAATGAGACGTTCCCGATGTGGATGGGCAACATCAACATGACGTCTGGAGACTTCAGACAGACCTGAGCAATCACAAGAGAAGAAAACTGAATCATTCTCTATAAACCAATCCAATCAACTATTGATTTGATCATTGGGGCTATAGAATATCAGATTGATGATTATCAGGTTTTTTAACAGTTCTGCTGACAAGGATCAACAGTTACATGTTGTATGTTTTGTAATGACGACACTACTGCTACTTACATTATAATACAAATAAAAAGGAGAAACAAAATAGACTAAAAGAAAAAGGTAGGAAACTGGTACTTCCAAAATAAAAGTTAAACAGGAATAGAAATTGCTGGTCCAACTATATTATAGTCATAGGATGTATTTTAAACCTATTTTGCTCCATATGACTATGGCAACTGAGTAATTGAGTAAAGTAAATACATTCACTAAGTAAGAAAACCAAAAGTACATAAACAATATTGTTTTGAAAAATTGACTTGTGCACAGATCCAGACTTCAGATCAACGTGTAAAATGACACTACCAAAGGATGATGGCAGAGAAAAAGCATATCTTACTTTGACATAATAATCCATCTTTATAAGATCACAGCCAATGAGGGAGGACTGAGGAAGAGGAGGGACGATGATCTGCTCCTTCCACTCCGACTCCTTGCCAGCCTTCACCACTCCGCCCTCCACCTCAGCTATGGTCCTCACATCGTGGGTGGGCCTCTTCGTCTCATAGGTCACTCTCTGAAACACACACGGAGGTTCATGAAGGCAGCAACATATGTGCATTATACCAAAGGACAGTATCTGCCATCTGAACCTCAACTATTAAAACCCTTTAATATATATGCTTAATCTTTACATTTTAATCTTCCTTTTTTGTTTGTTTTTCTCATATCTCATATTTCTCATATCGATGAAAATGAGTAAGAATGTAAGGTCTAGATGAGAAGGTCTAAGGATAGAGATCCTTAGACCTTCTCATCTAGACCTTACATTCTTACTCATTTTGTAAAGAAGCAGCACTCAGTGAATGTATACTGTGCCTTATGTACTTGCTAATTAAAACAAATATATATATATATATATAACCATTGCTAGTACTGTTACTGTGCACCAATAATTACCATTTATTTAAATGTGTTCCATTTTTGTTGTTTTTGTTTTGAATACAATGTCAAATATATATTCATTAGTAAGTACATAAGGCAGGCACATAGATAGATTTCACAAATATGATACAGTGTACATTCACTGAGTGCTGCTTGGTTACAAGTCTAAATGAGTAAGAATGTGAGGTCTAAATGAGAAGGTCTAAGGATAGAGATATGAGACGGACAGAAAGGAGAGATACAACCAAATGGATACAGTAAAGGACCAAGTAGATTAAGATAAAAATAAAACAATAATACAATTTAAAATTGCCTGGACCATGTTCTGACCTCACACAGGGTCTATGGCAGCAAGGCCGGCTAATGCTTATGGCAACATTGAATTACATTTCCTCACCAGAGGGAAGCTTTTGCAAGGCATTAAAAAAAAGATATAAACGGTTGCCGCTTTGTAACAAATGTTAATTTGAGCTCCTTTTTTTAAAGCTTGAGAAAGAACATCACATCTATTAGCCAGGCAGAAACAGAGGGAGGATGTTTGGACCTCCAATTGAGAAGCATTCTGCGACGGGCCAACAGGGCGGTGAAAGAGACAATATCTGCTGTCTGGAGGTTAATGAGGAAAAATCTTTAGAGACACCAACGATGGCATCAGGGTAATCTTGAGAACATCTGGGAGGGTTTTGCAGATTAAAAGCCAATCATTTTGCAATTTGGGAAACTGGCCTATGGCTCCCCACTGTGCTGTTGTCAACCCTTGCATGTTGAGCTGATATAGCAGCCACATACACCCTGACGGTAGCGGGACACCGGCCGTCATCCAGGAGGGACTGCAGGAACTCCTCCGGAGTAGGCACCGAGCAATGTACTGGGTCCTCCTTTCGCCCTTGGCACCAGTCAGAGAACAGTTTCCACCTGTTTTCGTACTGTTTACGAGTAGATGGTGCCCTAGCATTGAGAATAGTCCTCCTGACAGGCTCTATGCAGTCGCTCAGCAGTGGGTTGGGCCCTCAAGTAGCCAGACCCACAGCTGGAGGCGGCAGGGATCGGGGTGCCATATCCGACCCTCCAGCTGAGACAAGAGGTCCTTCCTGTTGGGGAGACGCCAAGGTGTCCCGCAACAGAGTCTGTGCAGCAGGGAGAACCAAGTCCTGGCTGGCCAGAAGGGGGCCACCAGAAGAAGCCTGTGGCCCTGATGAAGCACTCTGAGGAGTGTTGGTAGGATCAGAGGGAGGGGTGGATAGGCATAGAGAAGACACCCTGGCCATGAATGAGCCAGGGCGTCCTGACCCAAAGGGCTGGTTTTCTCCCTCAAGGAGAACCACAGGAGGCAGTGGGTCGACATCTTCGAGGCAAAGAGATCTACCTCTGCCCTGCCGAAGAGACCCCCAGATCAGCGTGCAGATTTGGTGCCCCCTTGGTGGTTTATATGATACACCGTTGTAGTGTTGTCTGAGCGGACAAGCACATGCCTCCCCCTCAGGTATGGCAGGAAGTGCCTGAGTGCTCGGTGCACAGCTCGTAGCTCTAGCACATTGATATGTTCTGTGCCGTTCAGAGCAGACCACTGCCCGCATGCTGTCCTGTTTTGCCACACCGCACCCCATCCCGAGAGGCTGGCATCCGTCGTAACGGTCTCTCTGCGGAAAGGGACGGAGCCCATGGCCACGCCCCTCGACATATACTTCTATATCTTCTGTGCCTGTGCAACTTGGGGTATAAGTGGAGGCCGTTCAGCCATCTTTGCAGGGGGCGCAGTGACAACAAGCCCAAGGGAATGACAGTCGAGGCCACTCCCGTCCACCGGCTCACCCCGATGCCCGCCAGGGGCCTCGGTATCCCACGAGGGGGCCGGCCCGCTACGGTCCTGTTAACTCGCCCCCAAGGCAGCCTCGGTATCCGGTGCCTAACCGTCGCCCCCCCAGAGCCTCCAGAGGCCGGGGGGCAAGGTACTGAGGGTCTGGGGCCGGCTGTCGGTTATTTCTCCCAGCAGCAGCTCAACTACTGGGTAGCTCAAGCTTCAGACCCCTTGGTGGTTTCCACCTTAACCCAATGGTACAGGCTTCAGTTCCGACGCTGGCCCCCAGCCTTAAGCCGGGTCAAGATGACCACCATAAGCGTCAGTCCTCCTTGCAAGGGTGCAATCGAGCCTGTGGACCCCATCTCACAACCCGGGGCTTTTACTCGACCTACTTCCTGGTAAGGAAAAAAGACGGTGGACTTCGTCCAATCCTCGATCTGAGGGGNATAACTGTGACATCCCTGGAGGTTTAGGGGATAGGAAACACTCAAATTTAAAACATATAATTAATAAATGGGTGAAAATTGCTTGTGCCCATAATGGTGCCCATTATGGGCACAAGCAATTTTCACCCATTTATTAATTATATGTTTTAAATTTGAGTGTTTCCTATCCCCTAAACCTCCAGGGATGTCACAGTTATACTGGCAACTTCTTATTATGGGAAATACGAAAACGTCTTTTAAAACTACAACTCCCAGTAGAGACGTGCCATAGATAGAGAAAATGTTGCGAAACACAATATCGATAGCAGCGTCCCTAGCAAGAAGTAACAAGTAGTTAATAATAATAAAAGACATTAAGAAAAAGGCATTTTAAACAGTCATTAAAAAGCAACACAATCTACCTGCATTGCAATTACTCTAAACGTGTAATAACGTGCTTCAACCAGTAGGAGGTGCGGGTTAAAAAGCTGTCAAGTTTACAGTGTTAACACAATAAAATATACTGCTGTTTCTGGTTTAGTTTACGACGGATATATTTTGTTATTGTTTTGATATTTGTAACACAAAAGCGATGGAAAAAACCCACAGCAACACAGAAAAGATGGTCTTAACATGACCCAGTGGTCTAGTAGTTAATAAAAAACAATAATATCAAACAAAATATTACCACTAACTTTATTGTGAAATTAAAACAGAACGGTAAAAGAATAGTTTCCGGTCTATATTCTGATGCCCATCTCTGTAGATAAATAAAGAACTACGACATATGTGTAATATGTAATGCAGCCAAACCATTTATTACAATGCATTCATGTGATGACTTTCAAAGAGTAAAGCAAGCACTGCTGAATAAAGTATGATTTTCTCTTTTACGAAACGGCTTTTTTTCATATGGAATGCAGTTGTAGGTCAACCAATCACAGAGCTTGAGGACTGATCTCAGGGTTTATCAAGCTAAGCACATGGTGTAGTCCCAAACGATAGCTGTGGATTCTGGGTAGGGTAGTGTCTTCTGCCATCCAAAAACTCCGAAAAAATATTTGTTTCTCCGAATCGAAGGGGAAAAATACAAAAGCATTGTACACAATTTAAACCAATCAATGTTGTGTAATTCACACGGATAATTTGGTGTTTTTGAGTTGATGAGTAGTGCGGATATCACTGTAAAATCAATTGACAGTAAGGAGAATACTTACTTCCGGATGTAAAATTCTCCGTTATCCAATGGGAATGGACGCTCGTAATACAATAAAGGGGACATGATCATTATCTTTTAAATAACGTTAACTAAAGGGAACAATCTATTTGACACAGCTGAAGCTCTGGCCTTCCTTAAAAACTAACTCATTTAATAAAAATCACAGTTGTATTACACACAATGCACTATTTTTTGAGAACAAACATTTGTAACTAATGTAATTTTTACATTTCGACGAAAACTTTAAATGATTATGAATACAAATAAAATAAAAGAAGCCTCCCGTGAGTTACTACAAGCTATAAAGTAGATTTAAAAACGTTTTATAGAATAAAAGCTCACTGCGGGACGTTGTAAAAATGCGTGTGTGCACCACGACAAAAGAGCCTCATTCACTTTACATTGGGGTTTTTTGCGTGGTGCCGACGCGTAAATGTAGCAGAATGCGTGACGCCTCCACGCAATGCGATATTAAGGAGTCGTGGTGGATTCATGCATTCTGGTGAGATCAGGTTGCTTCTCCAGCACGTCTCTAGCAGAGCAGAGGTGTCAGACAGCTTGGTTGCCTCTGGCTAAGTTTGAATCACTTTCAAGTGACTTTATTCCATCCCTGATATCACCTTAGCCTAAACTTGTCTTGAAATCTACACAGGGAGAAAGGGAATAGAAGCAGATATTGATTACCATGCTTTCATGAACAGTAAATATGTGTGGAAAGACCAAAGACAACATCATTGTAAGGTGATAAAAAAGGCGTCTTTATGGACTTCTTCCATTATATCTAATGAATAAAACAACACTGTTAGTAGGTGGTAAAAAGGAAACAAAGCTACTTAAGGTTTTATGGTATCAGTTAATTAGGTTTCTGTAGCCATCCAGAGACAGCAAATCAGTGTTTAATGGGGATAGAAGAGATTAGGAATCTTAAGGCCATTCAAATAGAATCATACCTTCGACTAACTGATTTAAACTTGTATTTTTCATTGACCCTTAAATATAAATAATTAAGGAAATGTTAACGGAGGGGAAGGCAAGTACATCCAGGCCTTTGATGAACCTTGAGCTATCTGTGTCCATAGGAATGGGGCAAGTCTTTCTGTTCTCCGTTCCTTAAGGCGTGTCTTAGAAGCCTCTAGATAACATTTGAGCTCAGCTCTCCAGTTCAGTTCCTGATCAATGTTCTCACTTAAATATATGTCTTTGCTTCGAGGCAAAACGGGACGTTTTAGAAATCCTCAAATACCTTA